TTCCTCATGTGGAAATACTTGATGAACGTGGTTCAACCACACCGGAGAAATATTATAAGGCTGGCAGTACCATTGAACTACAATGCGTCATATCGAAAATTCCTCAACCGTCATCATATATAACTTGGCGACACAATACGCGCTTACTAAACTATGACACTAGTCGCGGTGGCATTAGGTAAGTGAGAATGTACACAAAAATACTTATGCATTAACTCAAACGTCTGATGACAAACCCGCACTTAACAATTATTGAACATACTGAATTCATATTAACACTTACACCTTCATTTCTACACATTTTGCCAAATAAAGTCTAATCTAGTCAAGATGTGGGAGATAGAGAGAATATACCACATAGCCTGAGTTACGCAGTGTAGTTTGATATGTAGGAAACCTATCAAAACAGCAAATTAAGTTTAAAATTGAAAATGGCTTAATCCCCACGAAAAATTGTCAACACACTCCAACAACACATTCCCACACTGATGCGAAAACTAAAATACGAGTTTGTATTACAAATGGAAATAGTATTTACAAATGAACAAATTGGATACTGCTATACACTCAAAAACTCTCAATGCGATGATACCTTTAAATGAATTTAAGGTTATAGGGTAATCTGAAAAGGGCTGTTATAATGGTATGCAATTATGTAAAATTTGACTTTTACATAATTGCATACCATCAAGGCATCGAATATTTATTGACAAAATGGGAAACTTTGAACTGTTCAAGATTTGAGGTCATTCTGATATTACTTGGCAACTAAACTGAGGAAGTGTAATTAGATTTTCCTAGTGAAAATTAACATGTTAGTCGAAACTGCATGAGCAGTTACAAACCACTTTCATAGGACCATCTACTGATTTGTCCACATTAGGACAATCGTCTCTAGTTTAACTTCATGGGGCTCTCACGAATACAGATTTTCATAAGACAAATTCAGGTATTGAGTAGATTCTTTATTTGACAAGAAACATTTTAAATTTGTCCATAATTTCAGACCCTAATACATTTATGTATGTTAATGTGTATGTTCCAATCAGTATAGTTTTCTATCCCTCTACTATGCATATACTCACACCTTTTTTCCTAAGTGTTGATGATAACTATTTTGTGTTTAGATATGCGTAACACTTTCAACGATATAATTTAATTATTTCACTTTATACCTTTTGCACACACACATACATACACACACACGTAAACACCTTCACATGAAACCAACATAACCAACTTGTCACATACGCCCAACTTTTAGTTTTAAATCCTGTTAAAGAATTCCAAAACTTTTCTTATGGATTTTTCTCTTAAAAGTTTTGAATTGCAAAGTTTTATTCTCGGGTTTTTTTGTCGTTCTTTTCTTTATTAATCTAAATGACATGTTAGCAATCCCTGTAGGGATAATGTAAATTAGTAATGAATGCATGAAGTATTTATTCAGGGATATAAGTATAGGATCTTATGACATGAAAAAGGTCAAAGGCAAGTTTTATTAAAACCACTTTTTTTGTTGCTAGACCAAATGAAGTATGTGTGCGTGTAAAAAAGGATTTTGGTAAAACTTTGACTATTATACATATTTTGTAAGAAAATTTGTATACTTAGAAATTTAATTAAAAACGTGTAAATTACTTAAATTTATTTGATTATTTTACAAGAATTTCATTGAGATAACTCAATATAATTAAATATTCATTATAAATAATTGAATTGAATAATGTTATTTTAGAAATCATCTGTTGAATCATCTGACAACTTCGATGTTAATACAAAAATCAGGCCTGCACAGTGGTATAGGAAAAAAAAAAGAGGGAAATAATTCGGTAACTTCTAAACGGTTAATCCGATTTTAATGAAATTTGGTATGCACAAAGAGGAGGTGTTGTCGAGTTTAGGTTTTGAATTTGGACCTTATAGGCCAACCAGGGGCCCGGCAGGGGGTCCTCAAATTAGGACACCTCGGCTATGTTAAATTTTTAAAACGATCCTATTTCTTCATTTGAGTTCCGATTTAAAAAAAATTTCGTATATAGAATCTCCTCATCGAGCACTATAAAAAATGTCGTCGTAGCAGTAAATTATCTCTTATAGTTTAGGAGATATTCGCATTTGAATATTAAAATTTTAAAATTTTTACCGTCCTTACTTTAGTTTTTTTGATAATAGCAGGTCCAAATATTTCCGATTTTCGCCATTTTTTTTTATTTGCTTAACAACAAGTTTATATACCAAGCAGTGAAAGAATTATGTAAAAATCATGACTGAGTCCAAAGTTATAGGCATTTAAATTTAAAAAATTAAAAAAAGGCGATTTTTTGTCATTTTTTTGGGAAAAAAGTATCTTTTTCTTTTTAAGTTATCTAAAAAGTTTCTAAGAAGATGTATATAGAATTTATACTTTTTGGAATGCTGACTTTACATAAAATACGATAAATGAAACAAAACCTAAAAATTTTTGATACCGAGGGGACCAGGTCCATCCAAAAAAACCCTATTTTTTATGGAAAATTAAATTTTGAGCAAAAATTCTCAAATCGCATAGTCGATATCAAATTATAGTGACCTGTTTTATATGACCCAATAAGTTCTTAATCATTTTGTAACGGGTTTCGATAACCCCGCCCCTGGTATGGATATAATAGGCAAAAAACCAAAAAATCCCATTTTTGGGATTTTTTAAAACTTTTTTGGGAATTCCGGGATTTCTAATAAGAAAATTCGAAATTTTTATTTAATTTTGGATTTTGAGTAAAAAAATCTACCTAACTGTAAAACTTCATCAAAAAATATTCATAAATAAAATTTTTATTGCAATTTGAAAAATTTGTATCTTCGCAAAAACTGAATAAAAAACATTTTTTAATTTTTTTTAAAAAAAGTATTCCGCGAATTTTTTAATTTTCAAAAATTATATACAGTTTTGAAAAATAGACAAAATTACCTTTCCATTGATATATAACATGCCTACCTAATGTTTTTTAAGTGACAAATTAATTAGGGAAAACTCAACATCTTTTAGAAAATTTGCCTAGCACTATTATTTTCATCCATAAGGTTAACTCTTAAATTTGTTACATATATGGATGAAAATAATAGTGCTAGGTAAATTTTCTAAAAGATGTTGAGTTTTCCCTAATTAATTTGTCACTTAAAAAACATTAGGTAGGCATGTTATATATCAATGGAAAGGTAATTTTGTCTATTTTTCAAAACTGTATATAATTTTTGAAAATTAAAAAATTCGCGGAATACTTTTTTTAAAAAAAATTAAAAAATGTTTTTTATTCAGTTTTTGCGAAGATACAAATTTTTCAAATTGCAATAAAAATTTTATTTATGAATATTTTTTGATGAAATTTTACAGTTAGGTAGATTTTTTTACTCAAAATCCAAAATTAAATAAAAATTTCGAATTTTCTTATTAAAAATCCCGGAATTCCCAAAAAAGTTTTAAAAAATCCCAAAAATGGGATTTTTTGGTTTTTTGCCTATTATATCCATACCAGGGGCGGGGTTATCGAAACCCGTTACAAAATGATTAAGAACTTATTGGGTCATATAAAACAGGTCACTATAATTTGATATCGACTATGCGATTTGAGAATTTTTGCTCAAAATTTAATTTTCCATAAAAAATAGGGTTTTTTTGGATGGACCTGGTCCCCTCGGTATCGAAAATTTTTAGGTTTTGTTTCATTTATCGTATTTTATGTAAAGTCAGCTTTCCAAAAAGTATAAATTCTATATACATCTTCTTAGAAACTTTTTAGATAACTTAAAAAGAAAAAGATACTTTTTTCCCAAAAAAATGACAAAAAATCGCCTTTTTTTAATTTTTTAAATTTAAATGCCTATAACTTTGGACTCAGTCATGATTTTTACATAATTCTTTCACTGCTTGGTATATAAACTTGTTGTTAAGCAAATAAAAAAAATGGCGAAAATCGGAAATATTTGGACCTGCTATTATCAAAAAAACTAAAGTAAGGACGGTAAAAATTTTAAAATTTTAATATTCAAATGCGAATATCTCCTAAACTATAAGAGATAATTTACTGCTACGACGACATTTTTTATAGTGCTCGATGAGGAGATTCTATATACGAAATTTTTTTTAAATCGGAACTCAAATGAAGAAATAGGATCGTTTTAAAAATTTAACATAGCCGAGGTGTCCTAATTCCTAAACTCGACAACACCTCCTCTTTGTGCATACCAAATTTCATTAAAATCGGATTAACCGTTTAGAAGTTACCGAATTATTTCCCTCTTTTTTTTTCCTATACCACTGTGGCCTGGTGGTAATGATTACATTTTCAATTAACATTACATTTGTAGTAATTGTAATTTAAGCTTTACCAATTCAAATTATTTGTAATGTCTAATTGAGCAATAACCAATTACTATTATATTCAATAGTTATTGGTATTACAAATTAAAGCTGCGATCAGACAAAGTTAAAATTTCTCAAAACATTGATTGTGTCAAACCAAAAATTCGTCTTTCTTTGAAGTCGTAGAGGAACAATTTGTTTAGATCTTTAGAGAGAATTATATACGTAAATGCGTATGCCATCAGGAATGGCCCATTACACACTGATAAGTTATATGGTGGTAAAGTCTTCTTTATTAGGAAATCGACGTTCCCTTGTACTACTAAATATTTTGTACTCTTCATGAAAACTGAAGTGAATGTACACTGTTTGAGATAAGTGACAATGATGCGCCCGAAATCGGAGCATTTTTCTTTTACTATAGACTCGACTGTAGACTAGACTATAGACTAGACTATAGACTAGAAGACTATAGACTAGACTATAGACTAGACTATAGACTAGACTATAGACTAGACTATAGACTAGACTATAGACTAGACTATAGACTAGACTATAGACTAGACTATAGACTAGACTATAGACTAGACTATAGACTAAACTATAGACTAGACTATAGACTAGACTATAGACTAGACTATAGACTAGACTATAGACTAGACTATAGACTAGACTATAGACTAGACTATAGACTAGACTATAGACTAGACTATAGACTAGACTATAGACTAGACTATAGACTAGACTATAGACTAGACTATAGACTAGACTATAGACTAGACTATAGACTAGACTATAGACTAGACTATAGACTAGACTATAGACTATAGACTAGACTA